ACCCTCAGGCCCCCAACCAACTCCATAGAGGCCACCCTCTTACCCAAAGCCTGGCCCTAGCACTTGTTCAGTGCACAGCCTGAGGAGAAAAGTAGCTATAGAAGCAGGCCTCTCCCTTTAAGGAAAGGGCTGGGGTCAGTGCCAGCCCAGTCTGTACCTTGAGCTTTCCTTCTCTGGGTGACCAGTACCTGTGATGTGGGAAAGATGAGTCTCACCAACTGGTCAGTGGGCAGGGTCTGTAGTGGCACCTTCAGTTGTTCCTGAGGGTCATTCTGTAGGGGAACAGAGAAAACCCATGAATCCTTTACCCTCCCTGTCAGCAAGAACCCCACCAACTCCCCTTGGCAGCAAAAAAGGAATAGGAGGGAGGGGAACAGGAACCCCATACACTCTACCCAGGGGCCTGCCTGCCTCTGTCAGGGAGAAGGGTAAAGGAAGTGGGGTACAGGCAAGCAGAGGTCAGGCTGGGAGGAGGTGCGGAGGGAGTGAGGGTGGCCTTGGGGACCCAGCTCCTGGGAATGAGGCCATTACCTGTAGATGGATGTTCAGTTCCTGCTCCCAGCAGGCTGGGAAATGGAAACAGAAAGAGCCAGTGCCCACAGAGGCCTCCTGAAGTCCCTCACAGGCCCCTGGAACTACAAGCTGAACTCTGGTCTCTGACCCTGGAAACAGGAAATAGAGCAGAGAGGACAGTGCTAGGATCTCTGCCCAAGGCATCTCTCACTATTCCTGGAGGGCATTTCCTTCTCTCTGAAATGGAGGGTTGGTTGGTCCAGGTTGGATGTTGGAGCCCACACCACACTCTGAATGCTAGGTGGAAAATCTTGGCTCCTGTGAAGCCCCAGCACAGACTTATTCTCTAGCCCTTATTCCTGCCTTTGGGAACTGAAGACAGCTAGTGCCTTCCGCTTAGAAAGGAGGAAGATAAGGAATAAAGGTGGAGGGACTTGGGGCTAGGGTTGTGGCTCAGTGGCAAAGTGCTTGCCTAGCATGCACGAGGCACTGAGTTCGATTCTTAGCACCACATAAAAATAAATAAATAAAGACATTGTGTCCACCTACAACTAAACAAACAAACAAACAAACAAACAAAAAGGTGGAGGGACTATCCCAGTAGGTTGGGAACTCACCCTTCTGGTCCCCAGTCTTTTCCAGCTGAACATGCAAGCAGGAGAGCTCCCGGGCCTGCGTTGTTAAGAGAGCTCCTCAGCTATCATCGACACCCCTGCTTGAGGACCCCACCCTCCTAGCACCCTGCCTCCTCCTCTTCAGCACTTCATTACCTTGGCTCCCAGTTACCTAGCATTTGCTTGAGATTGTACTCCCTCAAGGCACTAACACCCCAAAGCTCCCCAATCAGCTTACTCTAACCCAGGCAGCCATGGGTATGAAGAGCAAGAAGATGGCATGAGGGAACCTGGGGACCCCTAGTCACCCCCCAAGCACCATTCCTGACTCACCACCAGGATGCCATTGCTGATAAGCTGCTCCACACAGTCTGTCCTGGAAAGAGCCCCCAGTGACCCTTTGCAAGAACCCAGGTTCTCACCCCCTAGAGTCCTGGGCACCACTTCTCCACCAGGGAACGGCGCCAGCTCTGGGTGGCACTGTCATTCCCAGAAGGAAGCATTCCATTCCCACCTGGGACTGCCCCATGGCCCAACTCACAGGCTCTGCAGTTGAAACTCAACTTCTAGCCGCTCCTCACCCTGGGGAGATAGAGAAGCAAGTTAGAAAGAATGAGAAGAGCGGTGTGTGTGTATTTGTGTGTGTGTGTGTGTGTGTGTGTGTGTGTAGATTCCAACCCAGACACCAGCTAGGGATGCTGAAGTAAAGGTGAAGGAAGGGGTCTGAGGGAAGGGCCATTGTCCCTCTCCAGGCTACTGTGTCCACATTCCTTTGGCTGTTCCAAGAAAGCTGTTCTTTGGTTCAGAAGGCAAGAAAGGATGAGGAAGGTCTGCTCCTTGATGAAAAGTCACTCCTAATTGGCAGAGGCCTCTGGGATGTGACAGATACCTGGGCCAGCTACTCTCCAAAGTATCCCCTTTCCCAGGTTGGGGAGCCCCTGCTGCCTTGAGTACAGCCTTGCCTGTGAGCTCAGCGAGAAGTTCTGGTGTCTAAACTCCCCAGGCTGCAGGGTCCCCACATCAAATAGCACTGACAACACTGGGTCATCTTTGGTCAACAGGTCCTGGTCAAAGACTTTTAATTCCATGATATTCTGGAAAGGAAACAGAGTAAGAAGACTGCAGAAAGGAGGGTAAGATGGGAAAGGGGGTAGGGCAGGCAATGAGGGCCTGGGAGAGGACAGGTAGCAGTGGCTTCAAGGGGATGGTGAGTAGGGCTGGATTTGATGCCTGGCCACCTTGAGCTGGCTGTGGATTCGGAAGTGAAAGCTCTGATTCCAGATGGGGTTTCTGCTGTTCTTGACCGTGCGTGTCTGAAACCTGTGGCTGGAGGCCGTGGGCAGCCACAGAGTCACATAGCAATCAGAGGGGGTCACTGCAGGGAGGATGAACAAGTGCGCAGTGATGACCAACAGCCCTTCCCAGCCCAGCCACCAGAGTCTCCATCACTCATGTCTAATGGGTGGCCCCACTGCCACCATCTACTCAGAATCTTCTCCCAGCACTCTATTCCAGGACCCCTCCTCCTATCTCTTCCCACTGACACTGCCCACTGAAGCCAGCTGTAGTACTCTCCACTTTCCTTGGCCCAGCACAGGGCCAGGGGAACAGCACACTCACCTAAGTCCTCGGAAGGCAGACCATGGGCCTGCAGGACACGCACAGTGAGCAGGCAGGTGCCAGGCACCTTTGCCTACAGAGGAGGGAAAGGGGACAGGTTTACTGCAGGTAGATGAGGCCAACAATGTCAACGTCCATAGGGGAAGCTGGGGCAGTCCCCCGAGGCCTAATCCTGAACCAAAAGGATCAGGCTCAGGCTCACCCTCCACCCCTTCAGACTTCTGATTCCATAGGAGATATGGTATCTCCTTGCTGACATCTGCCCACATCTATATAATGCTGTGTCCAGCTCTGTGCCAAGAGTTCTATATACATGAACTCATTTGTCACATGACTACCCTATGCAGGGGCCCTATTAGGATCAATCCATAAAGAAACTGAGGCATGGAGACATAGCCGCTTGCCTGGGGGAGATCTAGTTACCAGGCTAGTTCCAATTTAAGCCCCATACACAGGTACTTCTATATCCTGAATACAGCATCCTTCAGTCTTTCCATCCCACAGCCTCACCACACACCCCAGCTAAGCAGCTTTGAGTCTGGTCTCGGGCAGATTGGGATGTAAGCTATCAAGGGAGATGAAGGGGTATGTCAGGGCCTTGGACATCATGGATGAGCCATTTCCTATACTGTCCACCCCATTCTGGAAATGGGCTCTCTGCTCTATGATGGTCTCCAGAGAGCTCCCTCCAAACACACTCCTTGGTTCGGGTTTATAAAGTAGCCAGGGCAGAGAAAGCCTGTGCCAACTAGTACTTCCCGTTGATTTTCAGTTCTGCCTCTGGAAGGGTGCTGACAGATCAAGTCCAAGAAGCTACCAAGGTCAGGATCAGAGATGGGGAAGCTCATCCACCTGTGGCAGCCCTGGGGCTCTTGCATCCCAAGCAATTGAGTCAGAAGGAGCATCAAGCAGCCACTTCCTTCTGGGGCCCCAGGACAGCAGCTGGGAGCCTTTGAGTTCCCAAGACCCAATTCCCTGTGGTCAACCTGGAGCCATTTCCAGGACAGAAAGAACTTGGGGTAGTCCCTCACCCAGGTCACTGCTTCTCCCCTGGCTACTACTAACTGGTCTCATCTTGCAACCAGCAAATATTCCTTGCTAAACCTCAAGAAGACCACAGCTTCTCTAAGAAATAGCAATAATCAGACCCTGGATGGGGATCTGGGTTTGAAGTGAGGGCCCAGTGCCCTGGAAGGCCTTACCAGAGCCATGAGGCCAAGTTCTCAGGAGCAGGAATGATGAGGCAGCAGCCACAGGACCAAGGACTTCCAGCTTTTAACCCAGAGACAGGGTGCTCTAGCTAGCCCCGAGCACCTCCCCAGCCCCTCCCATATGCCTCTTTCACTCCACCCAAGGCCCACACACACCACCTGTCCAGGAAATGAGGCACCTTAAGCATGTCCCAGAGCCACTGACACCCTCTTGTGTCAGCCCTGGTTCCCCGAGGTCCCACTCTGCAGCCATCACCATCTGGGCCTGCCCCAGTCAGCCCTGACTTATAGGAGGGAGCTCCGGGAGAGGTGCTGTCAGGTGTTGAGCAGAAGGAAGGCAGACAGTGGGTCCCACAGCAGTGGTGAACAGAGGAGTTGAGCATCTTCAGCAGCAGGGTATTGCGCAACCTCCCAGCGCCAGTAAGACAGGAATGCCCAGTCCTGACTGGAGCCCTTTGCCAATCTGAGAGGAGTACCCCAGGCTCCATCACAACTGGCAGGGGGTGTGGCTGTCACATAAAATAGCCCTTCAAAGCCATGTCTGGATTGCCTCCACCCTTGGAGTTGGGTGGCCGGGGATAAGGCTGGTAGGTTGACATTCCTGCTCTTCAGATGGGTGCAGAGGGAGGCTGAGTGTGGAAACCAAATCTTTCCTCAGAGGGATGTCCCAGGAGGGGTAGGGTTTTTGTCCCTTCCCGCCAGTGCTTGTTGTAGAATAGAGGTTACCCTAGGACAAGAGATCCCACCTGCAGCCATGGAGCCAGGGGACAAGAGCAAACCAGGCCAGGATAAACCTGCGAATAGCATTAGAGGCCTTCAGCCAAGGAGGGCCCAGTCAGGCAGTTACAAGACTGAGGTCAGTCCATTTTTCTCATTGAGGGACTGCATAGGCTGTCACAGACAAGGGGTCTGGGTAGCAAACAGCTTCCCATGCCTGGATCTGGCCCACAGCCCCAGACAGGGTTACCCTGAAATTTTCACCTAAACCCTCAAGCCCTCATTGGGCCACAGGAACTACTGTGACAGGGAGTATCAGAACAAATGACTCACAGCTACCTTTTATTGACCACTTCCTTTGTGCTGGTCCATGCTGGACCTTACAGATATCATCTCCATCCCTGTGCGGTAGAACCATTATTATCTCCAGTTTACAGCCAGGACACCAATGCCAACAGGTGGTGACTTGCCCAGAGTCTCAACACTGGTAAAAGGTGCTGTAGGACCTGATCCCCACTCCTCCTCATCTGTGTGGCAACTTCCTGGGCACGCTCACTCAAACCTGCCTGGCATCTCCTAATCACATCCCAAGATCATATCCCAAGATCATCCAAGGCTGATTCCAAATTAAGCTGGACCCTGAGCAGCAGACAAGTACTTAAACTCCAGGTGGTCTCTAGAATTAAGCCAGCAGCCTAGGAGGGGCTCAACCTCTCCCTCAAGATGTCCTTAGCAGTATTCACCAGTGGTACATCAGTCAAGGACTGCAGCCTTAGTTAGGGAGTCGAGCAGCTGGAAATAACTGTACTTGAGGTCATATTCCATGTCATACCAGAAGTTCACTGTGGGGAGAACAGAGATCTGAACATGAGGGTCCCTCTTTTAATCCCGAGCCCCCAACCTCTCCCAAAGATGCCCTACTGGGCCTTGACAGGGCTTTCCCTTGGGTGGCCTGTGTGTTCCTCACCAGCAATGCAGCCATGGGACTGCTGGACATGGTGGAACCATAGAGATGGCAGGTAGAGCAGCTCACCAGCCCGCACAGTACAGCGGAGGGCCTGTGCCTGACTGTAACTGGGGTACTGGGTCAAGTCTGGAGCCAGTGGGTCTAGTGGGATCCAGGGCACCTAGGGACACAGCAGTTTCCAGGAAACAGGCCCCAAAGTTCCAGGTCCTCCAGCTCTGTCCCTTCCCAAGCTGAATACCATGAACCCTGCTCTACTTAGCATGGAAAAGCCCCATACTTACAATTTTTCAGAGCAAGGTATCACCTCCCCAGACCTTTTGTGCTTATCCTCTGGGGCTCAGGTTCTTGCTCCTTCCCCTCCCCAGAACCCAGGAACAGAACAAATACCTTCTCCATGGCTTCTTCATCCACCATCTTAAAGGTACCCTCTTCAGTTAGTTGGTAGGTTGCAGGTGTGTACAGTTCTAAAGCCCAAGGGAGAAGGTTGTGGGGAACCTCAAGTGACCCACAGCTTGCCAGTTCCTCCCTACCCCAGCCAGCACACATGTTCCCTAGGTACAGGGTCCAGAGGGTTGGGAGTCCTGGTGCACTTTAGACCTGTGGTCATGTTTCAGGCCTAGGCACCAGCCTGCCCCGGGATCTTGCTGTCCTCCCTCCACCGCAGGCCACCTGTTCCCCCAAAGCCCCCTCCAGGCCATGTCCCCTACCGTAAGGGATGAAGGGCCGGTCACTGGGTGGATGTAACAGAAAGTGTTTCTCCCCTGATACCACACAGTACAGGTTCTCATAGTGGTCCTTGTGCACTGTCAATGTAAGTAAAGCCTGGAGGTGAGGTTGGAGGACAGAGGGGAGCCAACCACCTCAACCCTGAAGCTCAAGACTGCCTATGGCAAAAGGAAGAGATCATAAAGGGTCATCTGGCTCAAGGAGACACCAAGGATGCTGGTGGACATTGCAGAACTCAGCACACCAGGGAACAGATCTGGTCAGGCCCTGGGCTCACCTCCACCAAGAGGGGAAGTGGTGCCATCAGATTTCTCCTAAATTCCCTCCTGACCTAGTTGGCCTTCAGAGAGCTTCTAGGGATCAACAGGAAAAAAAAATGGTGCACTTTGGTCTCAATACCATGGGTAGCTACCCAACTCAGCTGTCAGGGGAGACCTTTTGTGGTGCCGGAGTCTAGAACCCCAAGGGAAATGTGAAAGAACAGCCAGCCTATCTTCAGTCCAGCCCAACCTTCCTCACCGGAACTCATCTTCCCTTCCTCTGCCCCTCCAGCTTGTTCCCCAACACCTACAGGATGTCACTGCAGCTGCCTCCCCCAGCCAGAAGTTCACAGCATCAGGCATCTTTCCTGTGGGGCAGATGGCAAGTTAGGAAGGACATGCTAGCTGGGCCAACACACAGGGATACTAGGCAAAAAGCTGGGTGGGAGTGAAGAAATCTCAAGGAGAAGAGGAAGAAGTTGGGAGTGCTTCCTTATTCATCTAATATGAAGTCAAGGCCTGAGGAAGGCAGGTGGGTAGCACCTGACCACACAGGCCCAAGCGTGTGGACCAAATAAAAAGCAAAGGGAGAGAATGAAAAAGCAGACTGATCCCTTCCTTCCCAGATTCACTGCCCTGCCTCCTGGTCAGAGATCACCTTGCACCCCCCTTCCCCACCTGCCTTCACTCACCCAGTGCCTCAGAGGCCCAGGGTACATGAGGCTCCAGATCAGACAGCAGTTGGGGCAGCTCAGTGGGCAGGTTGGAACACTGCTTCTGCACATAGAGGACTCCTGGGTGTTGGGCCTGGCCCTCCAGCACATCCAGTACATAGCTGAGGGGCAGGCGGCGCTCAGCAGGCATTACAAAGCGGTCCCCTCGCACTGCATCTGCATAACCGTCTGGAGTCACAGCCACACTCACCTCTGTGGAACCCACTGTGGCTCTGGAGGAATGGATACTCAGCTCATGCCCAGTTGTCAGTAATCACTGCCCATCCACCACCCCAGGGAGGCTCCCACCTTAAGTAGGGGAGGGACCACTTCTGGAGAGCTGACCAGTGCTTCAGGGCATTTCGAATAATGCATGGCCTGTTGGGGCACACCCAGTCCCGATAGAAGTGGAGTGGAGTAGGGGGCTCATCCAGGTAAGGCACATCAAGAGGCACACTGAGCTCTGAGAAAAAGAGGGAAAGGCGGGTGGTGGTGGTGGGGAGGCTGAAGGCAGCAGCACTCAGTCTTTGTCCCATTTCCTGCATAAGAAATACCCTCCCTAGGAAGGCCATACTATGTCACTAAGCCATGCCCACTGGTGACCATAGGACCCTAGACAACCAGGAATAGAAGAGTGAGAAGTTGAAGTGAGAAAGCATAAAGTAACACACACCAAGATGGGCCACCATGGGCTGCTGCTCAGCCTATGACCTAAATCCTACATGGGTCCATGTATTGGCTTTATACAGTAGACCCTCGGCTTTCCCATAAGGAGGGCAAATCTTACAGCATCCATTTGGAAATGGAGCCACAGAATTGGTGGTGGGAGGTCTAGAATGACTAGGGACAAGGCCCAAGGCCATGGCTGGGCTGGGGGTGAGGCTCTAGAAAGACCCCTTCAAAAGTGACACATCTGAGCACCTGGAATGTGCTCACACTTGGCCTGGTCAGTGTGGATATCAAAGGATGATCCAATAATCATCTCAAGCAGCTTACAATCTACCTGGGGTGAAAAGATACCAGATGAAATAGAGGCTAAACTGTGTTTTGGGTCTCACTGAACAGCAGCATCGTCCTTAGATACCCAGGGCCACCATGTATATTTGAGCAGCTTACGCAATGTGCCACCTGTTTGGATGTCTACAGTGGTCCTACATCACCCTTAAATGCAATCTATTATTTATGACTCACCCTTAGTTGCTCCTGTCATCTTACTATTTCTCAAAGCCACTATCTCTTTCTTTCCTCTGCTACTTTGGGTCCTCGTTAAAAAATTACAATATTGAGGATTCCTTCCCTGAGCACTTTTTTTTTTTTTTTTTTTGCAGTACTAAGGATTCAACTTGGAAGTGCTCCACCACTGAGGTATATCCTGGTTTATTTTTATTTATTTATTCTTTTGTGTGTGTGTGTGTGTAGGGTGGGGTACTGGGGATTGAACACAGGGCCTCATGGCATGCTAAGCACGTGCTCCATCACTGAGCTACACCCCCCAATCCTGCTCTTTTAGACAGGGTCTCACTCAGTTGACAAGGCTGGCCTTCAACTTGCAATCCTCCTGCCTCAGCACCCCGAGTTGCTAGGTTGTCCACTCTAAAATTGCAATCCATTCCCAATTCTTAAATCCCTTATTTTTTCTTCTTAGTGTTTATCACCAAATGACATGCTATATATTTCACTTATTTAAAATTGTTTATTGGTCTGTCTCCCTCGAAAGACTGAAGCTACATAAGGTAGTTTGTCTTGTTCACCGATGCATCCCTAGAACAGTACCTAGCATATGGCAGGTGCTCAGTAAATATTTGCTTAACAGTTGAATGAAAGTCTCCAATATCTTGGCTGAATGATTTCTGCAGGGAATCATCAAACCATTCAACTGTTTTTTTCTGGCCTAATTCTACTCCCCCTCAGAGTATCCATTATCTGGCCCAGTCATTTGAAAATACAATCTGAACTCCTCACGCCCCTAGTAAAGAATCCTTTGATGGCTTACCACTATTCATTACAGCATAATCTGCATTCAAGGTGTTCCATCATTAGGCCCAACCTATTTTTCCAGTTTGATTTGCTCCTGACTCCTGCCTTCCCCTTACCACACACCCTCTACTCAGGCAGTACCACACTTTGTTCCTGCTGCTCACTCAGACTAAATGCCTTTCTCCAGATTTTTACAAGAGCATAGGGCTTCGCTTTCCTCCTCCTTGGCCCCAATCAGTGGTTACTACAACCTGCTCCAATGACCATGTCATTCATTTTCACCTCTAAGGTCATACTCCACCTCTCATGCTATGTCTTTATGCCAGTAATCCTTACCTTGCAATCAGTAAGAAAGCAAATGTCTTAAGATCAGAAACTGAAACTGAATGGGAAGACCTTGGTGGGCCCAAGAAAACTGAAAATGAAAAATCTGGCATGTGTGTTTATTTTTCCTGGGTAGGGACAAGATGGGCTCTGCCATCTCCCAAGCAGTTACCCTGGGAGATGGGCTGAGGCTAGTACATCTCCCTGTTGTACTCATTAGGCTTTATTCCTTTTTGCCTCTGCTGTTCTGGGAATTGAACTAAGGCCTCATTCATGCCAAGCAAGCACTCTACCACTAAGCTACCCCACCGAGTCATGGGATTCATAAAACATGTGGAAACTGCCTTTTTCTTTTCATCCTTTGGATTTTTAACAATTGTATCAGATTTCCTTGCTTATCATTCCTTTAGAGAATGGCTATTTTTCTCTCCCGGGGCTTCAGAGAGAGAATTTCAAAGGGATCCAAACAATTCCTTTGACCCAACAGTTCTAAGAATTTAACCAACAAAAGTATTTGCACAGGGCTGGGGTTGTAGCTCAGTGATAGAGTGCGTGCCTCGCATACATGAGGCACTGGGTTCAATCCTCAACACCACATAAAAGTAAATAAAATACAGATATTGTGTCCATCTACAACTAAATATATATATATATATATATATATATATATATATATATATATATATATTTATTTATTTATTTATTTAAAAAGTATTTGCACTTGTGCACAAAAACTGCTCCAGACACTGTTCCCTGAATGCACCAAGCAGTCTCCCACCTAAGGAGCTGCTGGCCCTGCACTTGTCTTCTAACCAACTTCATGATTTACATGTTCAGTGCGGTTGTCTGTCACCTCACTTAGAATGTAAGCTCTAAGAGCTTGTTTTATTCGTGCAATGATGTACCGCAATATACTAAACAGAACCTAGCACATGGAGGTGCTTAAAGAATATATTAAATGAAAACTCAAGTATTAGCTGTAGAATTATTGAAAACAATAGACTAAAAATGACTGACATGCCTATCAATAGTGGGCTGCTTCAGTGAATTTCACCGTTTCACAGATGAATGAGATAGATGTGGAATGACTTCCAGGATGCACAATGCAGAAAAGTTTTTAAAAGGGTACAGTCCTGTGTGCATGGATTTAAAAAGAATCTTCCTGGAAGAATGCAAAGTGGGGCTGACAGTGGGAAGCTTATTTTATTTACATTAAATACTCAGGTCAGGTGCCTGTGTTGCTGGTCAGTGATACAAAATCATTAAAAATAAATAAGAAATAAGGAAGGAGAGAAAAAAGAAAAATCATTTAAAAACAGGCCTGGTGGTACAGGCATGTAATCCCAGTAACTCAGGAGGCTGAGGCAGGAGGATGGCAAGATCAAGGCCAGCCTGGATAACTTAGTGAGACCCTATTTCAAAATAAAAGGGGCTCATTGGTAGAGTGTCCTTGAGTTCAATCCCCAGTACTGATACAAACAAGTATATAATAAAAACAGAAAGAAGAAAAATTTAAAAAGCCAGGAGGTTGCGGGGTGCGGGTGATGAGGAAGGACTAGAGGAAGAGAGGAAAGGGGAAAGGGAAAAAAAAAAAAACAGTAAGGGTAAGAACCAGGATCACTTGAACAGCTGTCTACAATTCTCCCAAAACTTTGCACTGCCCACAGCTTGGAGGAGTCTGTTCTGAATAAAGACGACTGTCTCCTTTCTGCAGGGGTTCAGAGACAGAAGCCCACCACCACCTGTGGACATTTGAGGTTACAAATGAGACTTCTTTACGGGAAGAGCAACAATGCACTGCCCAGATTTATTAAGCACAGACTGACCCTGGGAACCCAGCACAACACTACCAGGCCTTGAAATAACGAAAACACACACTCCATAAAGCCACAGCGCGTGCGACCGCGACCCACCGGCCGGCTGGGGGAGGGGCCGTGACTAGAGCGAGCCTAGCGGGGGTGCCAACCACTCTCGCGCAGGGGTGCGAGGTGTCGGCGGTCCCCGGGACCCCTCTCGCGTCGGGCGCCTGCCCCGGTAGCGCACTCACCCCGTGCCGCGGCCGGGAACTCTCGTAACGCCCTTTGCAAAGCGTCCAAAGCCGCCGCCGCCATGATTCCAGCCGCCCGAAGCCCCGCCCCCGGCCGGCCCCGCCCCACACTCTTCCCCTCTCGCCAGGCCGCTGGACCCCTTTCCACTGGATGGAGCGAGAAGCAGTGATTTCTTTCGCCGGCCTCACTTGCTGCCACCCCAAAGTTAACAAATGATTGTATTTATTGACAAGTTCATACATCAGTACAAACGGACACGTTAAAAACAGCTCCCGCCCCGTGCGGCTGGGGAGGAGACAAGCGCCACTGCCGGAACAAAGTATAAAAGTTATAAATAAGGGGCTTTCAAAACTGGGACGGGGTAGTATGGACAGGGGCGGCAGTTACCGGTGGCCTCAGACATGCAGAAGGGGTCGGGGTGCCGACACGGCCACAAGACCCCCACCCACCCTGGGCAGGGGATAGGGAAAGGGCAGCTACCTTCTCACAAACCTAAGCAGGAATGTAGCTCTCTCCTAAAGCATCTGACTGAGGATTGCTAAGAACCTGGCCCCGGGGTGGAGCAAGGGGGTTGCAGTGCCAAGCCTGAGCCTTTGTGGTGGGCTGTGGCTGTTGGTGGTGATGGGGGCGGGCACAGCTGGAGTGAATTTCTACCCTCAGGCAGGCAGCTACAGCGCTGACAGGGGTCCACAGCCAGCTGTGAGAGTTTTGGAGGCCAGGATTTCATTTGAGTTTGACCATGCAGATGCTGGTGTAGAGAAGAGTGGGGGCATGAAACGTTTTGGTCTTCTTAGGGCATTCAGGCTGATTGAACAGAGCTGGGCATGCTCCATAACCCAATTTTTTTCATAGCTTCTACATACAGAGCTTGCAGCCAGATAAGCCGGCTTTTTTGTGGCCTGAAGCTGTGGTAAAAGCTGCCCTGCTTTACCTGGGGCAGAGAGAAGCAGGAGGGCCCAGAGACACATTCTTCACCCCTACTCTGAAACAACTGCATCACTACTTGGTCCAACACCATGGGCCTACTACACCCTCTCCTTCCCCTCAACCCAAGAATGGCCCCTTAAATTCTAATCTGTCCCTCACCTCTGCCACTTACCTGTCCCACCTACCACTTTTCCTGTGTGCCTCTTGGCCCTGCTGCCTCCCTCCCCACAACCTCCAGTATCTATAGAGCCCTTGATGGGTACCCAGCACTGTCTTTGAGGAGGCTCCTCATACTAGGTGTCTAATGGTCCATCACATAGCTAGGCTGTGGACATGAAGAATCCAGAATTTGGATGTAGTGTGTTCCATTCCTTTTTAAGTTCCACACAAGTTAGGGTAGTGAAACTGAGGCAGAATATGAGAGGAACCCAGGCACATATCAGCCATCCAAGGACTTTAGCAATGAGCACCCAACTGTTTGTGTGTGTACATTTTGTACGTATATGTGAGACTTCATCTGTGGCCAAGGTCCTCAGAAGGTGTGTAAGTGCCCTGTAAACCATGAAGGAAATTTCACACAGGCTTCTGACAGCATCACTCAGGATGCAGGGAGAACTTGGTGACCCTTGGGCTTCTGTAGCCTGCTGAGGACTAGGGCTGGAGGATAGAGAAGGCTAAGGAACTAAGGAAAGGAGGACAGGGCTTCATGTTTGCCCAGCAGAGGACCTTACTGTCCTGCAGCAATGGCACAGAGCTGGATCCACAAGCTCTGCCAGAGAGAGAAAAGGGGGCACAAGGGTAGAGACAATACGAGGGCCCTCTTGGGGGTTGAGTGGAAGTGGAATGTGGAGGCTCAGGTCCTGATACCAATTTGAGTTTCCTGATGGCTGGGGATGCTCTGGAAGTCCTGGCAGCTCTGTCCGCCTTCCTAAACTGCCAGGAACTGGGGGAAACAACGCCTGCTCTGGCAGCCAGGAGAGTGTAGCTGGTGTGGGAGGGGAAAGGAAATAGAGGTGAAAGTCCTCAGTTGACTGAAGGGCATTGAATACCACATTACCTCTCACCTCTACCCCCATGGAGTACCCTGTGAATGCTCCACCCCAGGGAGCTGATCCCTGAAGTAATTTCAAATGGCTTCTAAAAAAGAGGGCAAGCCCTTCCCAGTGTCCCCCAGATGGGGCAGGCTGCCCTCCTAGCCCTCACAGCACCATGATGACAAAGACCCAAGACCTACCCCTGCCATGACCCACTAGAACGGCTGTGGAGGCTGGAGTTTCAAAGATGTGAGGCAACAGTCTAGGAAATAAATTAATAAATACAGGGGCTCCTGGAGTAGTAGCTGGGAAAGCTGCTTCACCTCTGAGCACTGATCCCTGCTATCCACTCCCCACAGGTTTTGGTAAGTGGAAGAGGGGCTGCAGTTTGGAATGGGGAAGCATTCACTTGGGACAGGCTTCTGAAGCTAGAGTCTGCGTTCCATTCGCTGCTCCACGGCTCGAAGCAACAACTCTGAGTATTGCTCTAGTAGGGCCTGTGTCTGCTCAGCTCCCACAGCCCCAGGGCTACCGCCTGGACTGGACAAGGCTGCACCAGCCAGGGCCTCTAGCTCCTGACGCACTGAAGAGAAGGTGTCTCTGAGGAGCTGAGTGATTCGACTTTGCTCTGCTGAGGGCGTCTTGCAGCCAGCCACCTGCAATAAGACCCCTAGAAGTGAGCTGAAGGAACAGTGAAGGGTCTTGTCAATGTATATGTAAAAGGGAGGGGCCCCACCTGCTCCAGGTACCCGTAGGTACCTAGTTCAAGAGGTCTGGACTGGCCTATAACTCCCTTGCTGCCTCAGAAGAAGGGACTGGTTGGGAGTTCCACACTCCAAGAATCAATTTCATTATGACCTGGGAATATGGGACCCTCACAGACTAGAAGGTGACCCAGAAGAGGATCCCTTCAGATTATGGAATCACCTATATATTGTTAACCACTCCTTACAATTCATGTAGGCTCCACTTTCTCTTTCAAAACTTGGGCCCTGTTGGACTGTAGCCAGATAATTTTGGAAAATTTAAATTAAAAAAAATGAAAAGGGATACTGTTAATAATTACACAGGGACAACAGGCATAAACTGGGAGTGTCTTGAGAAAATTAGAACATGAGTCTTTCCATGTTCTATCCTCCTGTCTGAGGAGACCTCAGGCTCTTAACTAGAAATGACCAGTAGGTACCTAGTTCAAGAGGTCTGGACTGGCCTATAACTCCCTTGCTTCTTCTGCCCGGATGTCTTGAGTGCTTCACACTGTTAGTAGAAGATCCTTTTTATCATTGTAGACACTCAGCTATCAAACACCTCGCACTACTGTCACGCTCTGTCTTCCTGCCAGGTGGTGCCCAACGCTTACCGAGTGGTAGAGCTGTACAGCCTGGTGCACATTCCCACGGAGCTCTGCCACAAGTTTTTCACACTGCTCCAGGCTCACCACCAGTTCTGTGAGGAACAGATACAGCTCAGAAAGGCTCAGCAAGGGCTGGGATGTAGCTTAGTGTCTACCTTGCATTCGCAAAGCCCTAAGTACAACCCCCAGTTCCAAAAAAGAAAAAAAAAAAAACACACCAGAAAGGCTCAGCAAGCCATTTCAGACCTTCCCATCCAGGGCTGCTCAGAGCAAGAGAGGCCTACCCCTCAGCACTGAAACCCCCACCAGCCCTCAATCCCTTCCTCCTGTCCCTTTTTTTCTTTTGCTTTTCTTTTCTTGAATCCCTTCCTCATGTCCCTTTTTTTCTCTTTCTTTTCTTTTCTTGAGATGAGGGTCTCACTACATTGCCCAGGCTGGTCTTGAACTTGTGGGCTCAAGTGATCCTTCTGCTTATGCCTCACAAGTAGCTGGGACTACAGGCCTGTGCCACTGTGCCTTGTTTCCCCCCCTTCCCTTATAATACATTCTCCAAAACCACACAGACAACAAAGTCCAAAGGAGAGAGCCAGCTCAAACCCCAAGATCCAGAAGGGGTAAGTTGGTCACAAAGAGATCATGAAGGTTGGCAGGAGTGTCTCACCATCAGGGATATGACTTATGGGTTGAATGAGACAGGAGCAGACAGGATGAAGAACACTAGAGGCTGGATGCACAGAAATGGGATGGACCAGAGAGTGGCTAACAGAGACAGAAGAGAGAGGATGGGGCAGGAGATAAGAGCTGGAAGCTGTGCACACCTGAGTTCTGGCTCAGGGCTGCGCCTGGCCTGATACATTCCATGGGATTGGGAGTCCTCTCAGGGGGTAGGGGCTGCAGGTTCTCAGGGCTTCGGAGGAGGCTGACTGGCAGTTGCTGGGCACTGGGTCTGTTGGGCCCAGGCTGAGCCTGGCACTCCATCCTAGGCTTGGGAGCAGTACCCTCACCCAAACAGGCCCGCCGCTCAGATGTGCTATGAGCCTTTCCTAGGCCTGCTGGGGAGCCAGCCTGTTCTGCCTCATCAGGGGCCCAGCCCTTCGTTACAGGTGAGAATGTAGCTAGAGTAGGATGATCAGGCAGTGGTTTGGGGATGTCCAAGACCAGATGAGCCCGGCTAGGAAGGGCCAGTTTGCTGAGTGGTGAGTTTCGAATAGAGACAGGAGCTTGAGTTTCTGCCATTAGGCCTAGGTTCTCCCCAACAGAGACGCTGCGGGATATCTTGGCCATAGAACTGGTGGTAGGGTTCTGGTAGGAGTAGGGCCAAGATGGACAGCCATCAACCTGGGGCAGGGAATCCAGGCCATCCTGGACTTCCATGTCCCGTGAGAGCAATGGGCCTGATGAAGGCATCTCATTTGCTGAGGAGACAAGAGATATATACAGGTCAAGTGATGAGGAAGGACACCCGGGTGCTACAGGTCAAGTGATGAGGAAGGACACCCGGGTGCTACAGCTCAAACCTTAGGAGCTGGTGTTCCCTTGCACATGCCCACTAAGGATACCCACTGGCAGACACACCAGTCCTACCCTCCTCTAGTACACCCATGAGTTCCACACTCCCCACATTCTGGGGCTGAGCTCATCAGGCTCCTCACCCTGTGGCACCAGACTGAGCACAGACTGGGCTTTCTGGAGTCCAGCTGAGAAGCCAGCTGTGATCACTCTCTTGGGAGCCCAGCTGCTGTCCAGGTTGTGACGACGACGTGGCAATAGCACAG